TGGTTAATTTGGGGAAATATTTTGAGTGGGATCCACTTCCGATTTGGATCGGGTCAAAGTGGTTTCGGATTGTCCTTGCTAAGAGCTACAATTCGATATATGGTACACTCAAAATGGATAACGGGTGAATGATAAATTGATTCTCCAAGTTCACTCGTTAAAATGGAAAACCTGAGAAAATGATGAGTTTCTAGTGGGATTTATCCCACACCGGAAAACCCAAGGGATTTTCACCCCCTAATAATGGGAACCCTCTTTGAAGGAGTTAAGATTCCTACGGGGTAAGGCTCTCTTCACGCGCTGGGGGGTGCTGATCAAATCCCGAAAGCGGAGAAGAAAACCTCGACTCGTGTACACGGGTGACTTGCGGACACGAATGCCGTCCGAAAATCTATCATTCAAATATACGATTTAATTTTTGTTTCTTCCCGTAAAGTTTTAGTTTTTCCCAGAACCAGAAGTGCTTAGCGGCAGAACTGCTCGGACAGAAGACCTGTGCGGAGCTCTTCTGCTCTGCGCACCAGAAGAACTTAGTGGTAGGTATTCTGGTGGCTTCCGAACAGAACACCACGGAGCAGTTCTGGTGGCTTCTGAACAGAAGACCACATACCAGTTTTGGCGGCTTCCGAACAGAAAACCACATAGCAGTTCTGCCTTTGAGGTATTCTGTCCGCACCAGAAAGGTTCTGAACCGTTACACAATAAATGCCCAACGTTCTTATCTTTTAATGCATCAAAACTGGGAAAATGATGGGTTTCTAGTGGGATTTATCCCACACCGGAAAACCCAAGGGATTTTCACCCCCTAATAAAGGGAACCCTCTTTGAAGGAGTTAAGATTCCTACGGGGAAAGACTCTCTTCGCGCGCAGGGGGGTGCTGATCAAACCCCGAAAGCGGAGAAGAAAAACCGTGACTTGTGTGCGCGGGCGACCTGCAGACACGAATGTCGTCCGAAAATCTATCATTCAAAGATACGATTTAATTTTTGTTTCTTCCCGTAAAGTTTTAGTTTTTCCCAGAACCAGAAGTGCTTAGCGGTAGAACTGCTCGGACAGAAGACCTGTGCGGAGCTCTTCTATTCTGTGCACCAGAAGACCTTAGTGGTAGGTATTCTGGTGGCTTCCAAATAGAACATCATGGAGCAGTTCTGGTGGCTTCTGAACAGAAGACCACATACCAGTTCTGGTGGCTTCCGAATAGAAAACCACAGAGCAGTTCTGCCTTCGAGGTATTCTGTTCGCACCAGAAAGGTTCTGAACCGTTACAGCAATAAATGCCCAACGTTCTTATCTTTTAATGCAGCGTTAAATGGACATTTCATGGATGATTCAATGCCCAACGGACTGATCATTGATGTCCAACGTTCAGGTACTTTAACTCTCACATTAACACACAATAAATCCTCTTATAAATAGCTGGCAGGTGCTTTGCAACAAACACACGTTCACAAGCAATCTGCATGTAGTTTTTAGCCCTAAAAATATTTCCAGATACTCCAAAAATTTCCTTGGTGTTCTACCTTTGTTCCCGTTCTCCGGAACTTTCGTTTGTGTGCTCAAACGTTAGTTCGTTAGCCACCGTATCCTGAAAAACGATCGTTGCAACGCTCCTAGCACCGTGGGAGGCGACGAATACATTTTAATGACATCGTGCGTAGCACGAGCTCTGGCTAATCTCTGTCTCATCTATTTTCTGTTTTCTTTAATCATTTTAATTAATTAAACTTTATCAATTATTTTCTTTGTTTTTCAAAACAACATGGTATATCGTTGCATTTTGGAACTTGCTCAAAATGTTACAAAACTTTTCTGCAAGTTTTTTAGGATCTCTTCTTCTTTGATCAACCAATATATGGAAGTGTTTTTTTGTTTGAAGAACGGAAGTATCTCTCTTTTAAATCTTCCCAACAACAAATTATTGATCCCTTTTCTTTGAAAATTAATACAGTATAACCATACTACATCGTCTAATCTTTATATAGTCGTAAATGAAATAATTTCTTCCACTTATGCATATTTTGGTTTGGAAATGTGAGAACTAATTTTGATTAATATTTTGATAGCAAGTTGTTTGTTATAATTTAATATTTTGATGTTTCTCAATCAAAATATCTAACTTTGTTGCCTAATTTTTTTGGCTTTAGAATATAGTACATGCTTATTGTTCCCTAACCAAGTAAATTTGGAAATCAAAGCACCAAGTAGAAGATATGTATAGGCTATTTAATCATTTGCCAGAGATCAAAATCAATCTTTCTGCGGTAAACATCGTTTACTTCTGTAAGAGTTATCAATTTTTCTTCTCTTAATAATCAGTTCTAATAACAATTCATCTTATTAATCTATCTTTTGTCAATCCTTATTCACCATTGTTGTTATTATTTTCGCAACATCCATGTTTACTTGAAGATGAAGGCTAAATGAAATGGTTAGTATTGATTTAGTTATTATTACTCATGGAAGGGTTAGTTACATTTATTTGAAAATGTCAATCCTTATTACTCATTGATTGATATTGTTAGAGATATTTTGTGGTGTTAAATTTGTTAGATGCCTATTTTGTAATTGGCCTATTTCTAGAGAGAGAGCAGTGACGGTTTCTTGCGGACTATGTAGGTCCAAATCTTTATCAGTAATGAATAGATGTTCTCTTCATCTTAATTTTATTCTATACTACTCCCTGCGTCCTATAATTTACTTCCATAGTACAAATGTCACACGGATTAAAAAAATGGGTGTAGTGTGGTGGAGAGTTGTGTAGAGGAGAGAGAAATGTGTAATAATTCATGTGAAACACAAATTCTTTGAAAAAAATGGAAATGGAAGTTCCTTTTTTGGAAGAACCCAAAAAAAAGGTGGTCGGAAGGAGTATAAGCATTTGGTATCAGAGATTGCAATGATTTGTGGACCGTTATTGAAGAAGAAGACCTGGGAAGAAGAAGACAAGCGCACCCCTGCTGATCTGGTGATGCGCGAACTAGATGACCCGTGAACCTTGTAATAATCATGCGCGAAATGGGAAAATTTGATGCGCTAACCATTGATGAGCGAACTGCTAAAGTAGATGCGCTAACCATTGATGCGCGAACCTATACTGATGCGCGAAGACTGCCGTATTCCATGCGCGAAGTGAAGTTAGCGCATCCCATCTAAACCGTATTCCATGCGCAAACTGGACTATTGCGCTAACCGGTGGAGCTGATGCGCGAACCGGTTGCTGGAGCTGATGCGCAAAACCGGTTGCAACTGTAATGTAATCTTCGTGCGCGAACTTCATTGGATCAAATCTCTAGACTTCAGGAAATCCCAATTCAGGTCATATTTACCTTGATAGTATCTGGTAATTGTGATTGCATCTGGTTGATTTTACCTTGATATGTGTTATCTTACCTTGGGATATATTCTTAGGAAGCTACGGAAAAACACAGAATAGTTGGGAAATTTGTGGCTAGCCATGAAACGAGGAGATTGAATACATGCAATATAGATCAATCATTTTGTTGGATAAGTAAATAAGGGTTTGATCTTGACTTAATGACCAAGTGTGTGTTGTGTGTTGGGTTTTGTGTATCCCTTCCTCCCCACAAAATTCCTGCTACACTTCCATGTTCCAAGATGGCCACAGGGAGACATCCAAGCACCCTAGCCTCTGCCCATATTTGTAAAGTGGTCCAAAGTTTATTGTTAATAGCCATGGTAGCCAAAATCAGGGATGGATTTAAGGGGGGCGCGGGGTGCGACCGCCCCCCTTGGACTTTCAAAATTTTCTACTATATATGTAATGTTTTTGAAAAATTTTGATTCTTTAATTAGATTCGCCCCTCTTAACTTTTTTTGAACATTGCTCCCCTTAACTTTTAGTTTTTAAAATTAATATATAGTCTTACATAATGTAATGAAGATTTAAAAGAAGGAACATCTAAAATCATTTACATAACTTAAATAAACAATAGAACAACTCATTATTTAAGATTTAGGATACTTATTATATAAAAATTAGTAGTTTTGTTAATTATCTTTATTAGATGACTAGTAAACAATTTTGAAAAATATATATCAAACGATATTAAATACCAGACACTCTAGCTACAAAGTTTTTAGATCATGTGAAGTGAATCCAAATTATAAATGTTTATTGACATTAAATTACACAATTCATTTACTTCTTACGTTCTAAAAAGGCTTTATTCCATACATAATAAACTTTAATTATTTTAGCATTAATACAAATATAATATGCAATAAACATATTGCATATAAGACTCATGTTTATATACAAATATAATATGCAATCCACATATCAAGCATTAATATATATATGAATTAGCAAAATAATATACACCCTCCATGGTAGACAAAAATTGTAATTCAAAAATCAATTCTTTATTTCTATAAGACTCATGTAGTTAAACAATGTTGAAGTTATTTTAAAAGTATCAGTGAATGTGTACCTTATAAATTCTTTATGTTTAAATAAAATGTTATATATCCTTTTTTATTTTTATATCATTTTCCTTTGATTTGCTAAAATTAGAATGTAATATATAGATTTAAATGTCGTCATGCATGTATTAATGATTTTTTTTTGAATTAAAATAGCCGCAGAGCCTTACACTAGTGAAAAATTTTGCCCCGCTACACTAGCAAAAAAATCGCCCCGCTACACTAGTGAATTTTTTTATCTCCTACAGTAACGAAAATTTTCGCTACCTTGACTCAAAATCCTGGATCCCTGGCCAAAATGGAAGGTGTGGTGGTTGGCTAAACAAAGACCATGTTAGGAGGTGAGAGTAAATACCTTGGCATAAATGGTTGATGGTCCCCCAGCACATATCAAGAATTATTGTACCTCCCCACAGAAAGTTAGGTGAGACTGCGATAAGAAGGCTCTAAATTCATATAGTTTGCTTTCTCAATCATATGGATTCTGGATGAGATTTTTTAAATGAGATTCTTAGAATAGTTTGTTGCAACTGGTCGGTTTGAAGATTATAATAATAATAATGTAAAGTAGGTCCATAATCTTTAAGAATACGTTTATAGATGGATAATATTAGAGGCCCCCGGAGATGGTTAGACCTGGGGTTCTAGTAAACATAAAAACACTACAACTATCTCAAATTTACCCCAAAATTAGCTCACCATCACTTATTCAATTGGGTAGATTTGAGACTTGAGAGAATTTTATTATACCATAAAACTCCCCCTGCATGTATCCCGGTCCTTCATCCATTAATAGGTAGTATTATACAAGAGCTAATATTGCAAATACTAAGAACCACTAAGCCAAGCTAAAGGTGAAAATTCTTCTTTCAAATATCATCAGCCCTCACCTGCATTTCCGTTTTCTAGAACCAATGCATCTGTTTTCTTCATATGCCCATTTTCTTTAGCCAAGCTCTCTGCTTTCTTGCTGCCTTCAGCTTCCTGTTTCTTCTCTATGTCTTCCTCTTCCTTGGCTTCCTTGGCAACCGCGATTCTCTTATCTTCCTCGGCTTTCTTCTTCTTCAAATCTTCATTTGCAGCTTCTTTTAGAGATTTAACCAGTCTCTCCAGACAATTGTCAATTTTCTCTCCAGCAGATTTGGGCATCATGTTCTCAGCAACATCAGCTGGCGCCACTTTGGTTTCTCCTAGCAAACGCTTGATTTCTGGAAATAGAGGGTGAGGTTGGGTATCCTTTTCTGTATCAATATCGAGATAGTTCTTTGCTAATACCTTGAAAGCTTCAAAACAGCAATAAGACATCTCAATATGGCTGTCCATTCTCCCTCTCCTAATCAGAGCAGGATCAAGTTTTTCAATGTGATTTGTAGTGAAAATGATGATTTTTTCTTCTCCAATAGCTGACCAGAGACCATCAATGACATTGAGAAGCCCGGATAGAGTCACCTCACTCCCTTTTTTCTCTTCTTCCTTGATCAACTCCTTCTTGATGGGATCTTTCTCTTTTTTTGATGATGCATCCTCATCTTTCTCCTTCTTCCTCTGACCTGTTAGGTCAAGAGAGCAATCGATATCTTCAATGACTATGATGGACTTACCTGAAGTGTCTATCAAGAGTCTCCTTAGCTCATTGTTATCCTTTACGGCCGTCAACTCGAGATCATACACGTCGTACTGCAGAAGATTGGCCATAGCGGCAACCATGCTGGACTTTCCTGTCCCGGGTGGACCATGTAGGAGATATCCGCGCTTCCACGCCTTGCCTATCTTAGCATAAAACTCCTTTGAGTCCTTAAAATTGAGAAGCTCATCTTTAATCTCTTGTTTCCGGCTTGGTTCCATAGCTAGTGTGGTGAAGTTGGAAGGATGCTTGAAGATGACATGGCTCCATTTGCTGCCGTTCCACCCACGCCAGTCGTCACTCTTGTTGTTCGTGTACAGCTTAAGCTTCCTGTCATTGACAGCAATTGCTTTCCCCTCTTCTAGCACATGCTTGAGATAGGATTTTGTGATGATCTCTCGGTTCTTTTTGTGAAACTTAAGCGAGAAAAATCTCTTCTCTTCCTCCCTAGGGAAGTAAGTGATGGTCTGGGTGCTGGGAGATATTTGGTTGGAACTCCACCATACCTTCACCTCCTTATCACCCTTCCCATTATTTATGTAAACATCTGTCACCACCTCGCCGTTGCCCATGGTGAGCACCACCTGCTGAGTGGTGTCTTTGGCGGCTTTCGCGATGAGGTGATTAGCATTCCAGGTGGAGTTCTGGCCGAGGTACCTCTCGATAGCGAGGAACACTTGGCTCCTGTCAAAGAAGTCCTCTGCTTCAAACTCATGGAAGATGATGTGAACGTATGGGTAGAAAAAACTGTAAATTCTGTGAAAAGGATAGACTATGTATGATCGAAGTTGATCAGGGAAATAGTTATGGTATAAGGTACAGATGAACATGAGTGTTGCAAGGGAAGGGCCTAGTTTAGACAACAAATCTTCCATCATCAACAGCATCTTCTTCTGTATAAAATTGATCCTCTGATCCTTCTGCTTTATATGCGCTGGAGAGTAGCCTACTCACTGGATTCTTTTTTGTCTTGCTTATAGCTTTACCCTTTTTTATTCCAATGAAACATATAAAGGTTTTTATAGTTATTACTTACTGCATCTTCAATGCTAAAACGTTAACGGTACATACGTGCCACGTGAGAGAACCAATGAAAAACAATAAATAGAATATCTCTCTCCTTATTTGAAGGATCTTATATCATTTTGGTAAGTTTTTCTTCACAATGTCAAGCATAATGTCTAGATGTAGACATTGTGGTTGACATTGCAGGGAAAACTTATCAAAAACACATAAGACCGTGGAAAGACGGAGAGAGAAATGTCATAAAATCAATCATTTGAGTCTATCTTTCATGTCACATGTGCACCGTGCTCTTATAATTACGATGAAAATGGGCTAGGTTGTGTCCGGGAAGTTTCCCAAAATAAAAAATTGGCAACCACGTGTGTAAATAATGTTTTTTGGCAACCGCGTTAGTACATACGAAGTGATTTTTTTTGGCAACCGCGTTAGTACATAATTTTTTTGTTTACCACGTGTGTACATAAATATTTTTTTTGCACCCACGTGTGTAATTAAATTGAAATTCCGAAATTCTGTTTTTCTAGTAAATTAATGCCATTTTGAAATACAATAAGTGTCGTATTTTGGCATGACTACAGCCTTATTGCAATGTTTATTTAGCCATAATTTCCGAATATAGTGTCATAAATACTAGATTTCACATTATTTTTGTTCCAGGGAAATTTCCGTTTTAATATCTATTCTAAAAATAATTGATATGACCTAAGAGCGTCTCCAATGCTACAATCACATGGTGCACATGTGTCATAAGAGATAGTTACAAAAGTATTATTATCAAATAAATTATCTCTCCTCATTTGAATGATTTTGCACAATTTTGGTTAGGTTTTTTCTGCAATGTTAACAATAATGTCAACATCTAGACGGGTTTTTTGACATTATCGAGAAAAACTTACCAAAATCTTATAAAATCATTCAAATAAGGAGACATGTAATTTATTTTCTAATATTTATGTGGTTATCTCTCATGCCACATGTGCACCGTGCACATCGTAGCATCTTACCCTCCATCCCATATTAACTTAATTTAGAAATTGCTCAATATATAAGACTAAATAGTATTGGTATATTTTATTCCCTAAATAGTACTCCCTCAGTCTCAAATTGTAAGATACATTTACTATTCATTTGGTCAACATAAATCACTCTTAATCTTTTACTTTATATAACAAAAGTTTATGAAATTTGAATTATTTTTTGTACGTTTTGTAGCGGTTTTAATGTAGTTTCTGAATATGTAAATTTTATTTTCTAAAACTAATTTGAATGTTGACAAGTATCAATTTGCTTTATCGTTGGAATTGGTCAAATATCGTAAACCGTAAAGTATCTTACAAATTGGGACGGATGGGGTACTTATTTAGTCCTTTTACTTGGCATAAGTTTCTAACCATAGTATATGTTTTCTTTTAGTCCATTAAAAAAATAATTTGATTAAAACTTTCCAAACTAGGGAAGAATGAGTCCCATTTTACGAGTTTTTTTTTATATTATTACGATGAATATACGGTACGTTTTCTTTTTGACTATTTACTCCGTAGACATCATTAACTTTAGACTCTAAAGTCTAAACAACTGGGTTTCTTTTATAGATTCTTTGTTGAAATAATAGTAAAAGTAAAAATAATTTGAAATGCTAGTATAGAAGTGGTATATTTTTCTTCCCTATACAGAAGTCATGATATTATCTGCTATCACTCTGAAAATTTATTGCCATATTCCTGCATTATTAAACTATAATATTACAATAATAATTGTCATAATTGACAGTATTTATTGTCATAATATAATTGACAATATTTCTAATTATGGCAACAACTACTATTTAAAAATTATACAGAGAGTAACATTAGTTATGGACCCGGTCCGGACGGTTCCGGTCCCCAACCCGTCTCTGTCCGGGCCCAAATTTCTTATTTTTTTAATACACCATAAACCCTCTATTGCCCTCTCCGCCTCATTTAACCTTTTAAATGGACTCTCAATCTTTATGAAATGTTTTCCAATTATTTGATAGCAAAAACCAAAAAACACATTGGAACCCATCTGGTCCCGGTCCTGAATAGGTCCTGGTCTCAAGAAAGGGAGGTCTGAGACCTTTTTCCCACTGGTCTGGTTCTGGTCTCGCACCGAAACCTTATTTAATTTTCGGATTCAAAACCGAGCGGTTTCAGTCTAGTCCCCGGACCGGGACAGGACTAACTAAAATCTTAAGGTATTGCACTAAATATTTTTATTTGAAGGATTGTACTATTGTAGTGCTATTTTATTATATTCGAGAGATAGTTATGACATAAGATGCAAATGAACATGAGCGTTGCACATACGTACTTGATATATTGGAAAGTATAAAAATAAAACCGTAATAATTAAGTATGTAAATGTAAAGCTAGCTATCTCGGATTCTGGTCTGTCCACCGTCCACATTGGTTAATTTTAGTCATCAAGAATCATTTCCTCTACAATGAATGTGAAATGCAATATATATAAAGGTTTTCATTCAGGGATTAAAATTTTTACCCAATAATCCAATATAGATCAATAATAATGTTTGTAAACAGAATCTCAAATTATGAAAATGACCTTGTTTGCTCCAATTACGAATAAAAATGACAAGCGATTTGCCACAAAAAGAGGGTAATATAATGTTTGTAAAAAGAATCTCAAGGTATGAAAATGACTTGTTTACTCCAATTAAGAATAAAAATGACAAGCGATTTGCCACAAAAAGAGAGTAAAAATAAGTCTAAAATGCTATGTCAAGTTTATCAAGTTTAATTATATACTAAAAGAGTATATGGTTTCTACAATACAACTATACCAGTACTTAGCTTCCTCCATCCCGAAAAGGTTGGCCAAAGTTGATTTTCACGTGGATTAATAAAGTAAAAATTGTGTGGTTGAAATTTGTGCAAAAGAGAGAGAATTAATTTTAGCCACATATTCCTTACTTTAAATGAAAATGACAAATTATTTTAGTACATCCAAAAAAAGAAATTTGATCAACCTTTTCGTGACTATTTATGTCAAGTTGTCACAAAAATATACTCCGTGGAAGAAAAAAGGGTAATTTGATCACACATATGGAATTGAAGAAATGAAACATTATAAACACATCTCTTGGTCCAAAAAAAGGTGGAATCTCCCACCCCAGGAGCCCCCCATACCCCGACCCGACAGGATTTTTGGGAGGATGTTAATCACGGCGACTCAGTCGGCCCAATGATGGTAGGCCTTTTTCCCGTGCGCATCAGAGGCCCAGCCTTATTTCAGGTTCTGTGACCTCCACACGGCCGCTGCAGGTTTCGAACCTTGGTCACTTGGTCCAAATTTCCCACCACTGAACCAACTGAGCTACCCGTGCGGGTTTATAAACACATCTCTATTACTACGTATATGAAAGGAAAATATTTTGAAACATTGATGGTAATAATCTCAACTATGGGTGGTGCGTTCATAATAATCCCAACTATCGATTAACTTTAGGAACTTTCCGCCAATAATGGTCTGACGTGACCGACTACAAATAAATTTCTATAGTTTCTAAAGAGATATAGCAGGTAATCTCTATAAATAATCCCAAATTTTAATTTTTACGCTTAATTTCTATTAAAAATTCACTTGTTAGAGCATGTAATATGCGGTCATGGATCATTATTGGCGGAGAATCCATATAATTGGGATTATACAAAAAAATAATCAATAGTTGGGATTATTGTTAGCGGATCAACAATAATTGGGATTATTATTTTCAGTTTTTCCAAAATATTTTTATGAATAGTGTTCCATCTCAAATGTTTCCTATTGTAAAATGTAATGTGCCTTCCCGTGCATGTAAAGTAAGGATGAGCTAATAAATATGAAGTTTGTATAATAACTCCATTCAAAATAAATATTTCTTATTCAAAACAATAAAAAGAAAACAGACAAAAATGTAATTGACATGTAAATTATACAACGTATGACATAGATTCGTGTAGATGGGCGAATAATAATAAGAATTTGAAATAATTGTAAAAAGTACTACATCTCTTAAACGTGATAATATTATTTAAATACAAGCAATGAATAATTTTGTTGAATAACAATTTAAAAAAACTGAAAAATTAGAAAATACGTTAAATTGATTTATATTTGAATGGACTTCAAAAAAACGTGAGATGCTAAAGGTATACAATAAATTTAAAATTTGTGGGGCTTGGGAGCACGAATTTAAAAATGTAAGCAAAATAGTGTGAAGACCGATTTTGGAGTTTTTTCTCATGTTAAACGAAAAATTAATTCTCAAAATAAGATCAGATTAAAAGTGTTTCCTAAAATACTACTCCGTACTTCACTAAATCCGGGTCAGGCGAACCGCCACTTCAAGTGGCGCCTTATGGAAAGCAAATACAAGTGATACGCACGGTACCAAGCGAGTTCGTATACCGTAAGACCGTCCCAGCATGAGCACCGTACACCCACTCCCAAAACTTTTTTAAAAAATGGTAATAACTTTTTAATTTTTGATCCGATTTTTATAAAATTTATATCAACATTTTTTATTTTTCATGATCTTTCAAATGAGACCAATATTGCCTATGTAATTTTAACATATTGTCGAACTATTATATTAACCTATGTAAAATATGTAATTTTACGTGTAAAAATATGTAACTCACGTCTAGTCAGGCCAAATGCAACTCGTGTGTATAAATATGTAACTCTATGTGTAAAAATATGTAACTTTACGTGTAAAAATATGTAACTCGCGTTCAGACAGGTCAAATGTAACTCGTGTGTATAAATATGTAACTCGCGTGTATAAATATGTAACTTGCTTATAAAAAGATGTAACTCGCTCATAAAAAGATGTAACTCAATGTAACTGAGGTCACTGATCCACTCCCAAACAGATTCAATCTTCTATTTCACAAACCTATCATCTCCCTGCAATTCATATGCAACTCGTGTGTATATATATGTAACTTGCGTGTAGAAATATGTAACTTTACGTGTAAAAATATGTAACTTCACGTATAAAAATATGT